AACCTTTATAGGCTTACTCTCCATACTACTCTTCTTATGGATACGGCTATCCTTCAACTTACTCTTCTTATGGATATCCTTCATACGGATATGGCAACTACTACGGATATGGACTCGGATCATACGGATACTACGGAAAGAGAGAAGCTGGATTTGGACCTGCTGCACCAGCCAACTGATTCTCCTTCTTCCTTTTCCTGACTCTTTTTCACTTGCCCTGAACGAACTATCAAATAAACATTTTAAGAAAACAACAATTTATTTCGAAAGTTTTGATATGGCAAGACAGAACACATTACAGAAAAATAATTGACTTTGAGATTCTTGGAAGAGAAGAGATCGAAATGTATTAAATAACTTGAAAATTAAAAAATATCAAGATGGACTAGTAGTGTTGAATGAAGGCAACAACTTTTAATCGTCGTCATTCTCCAGTGGAACAAATGATTTTCTATCTCCATCAGTTTTCCCGAGCCTATTCGAACCAAAAAGTTTCCTTTTACCCTTTGAGAACATAACACGATCCTGAAAAAAAGGCTTAAACATTCGAAATTGTTGTTGGAGGTAGTATACTTCTTCTTCCTCTTCTTCATCTTCAATTCCACAAGTTTCAGCAGCAGGAAGCTCTCCATTTCTAGACTCAATCAAACGTGTGTACCGATACTCTAGTCTAAAAATCTAAGAGATAAGAGCAAATCAGGAAACTATCTAAACCTTCTATTTCGTTTGTATATCCTGACTAACGTCACACTCATTATGATGAGCAATACTATACCAAAGGCCATTAGAAATTTTTCAAACTTGCTCAAAACTGAACATTCCTCTTCATGAGATTCAGCTTCTTTACCAGAAAGTACACAATGTCTACAAACAGTTCAAATACACTTCGATGAATTTAGAGCAAACTTACTTTTCAGGAATGAAGTGAATAGTTTGCTTGCCATTTACACACTCTCCTTTGATTCTCTGATAACTTCCGGAACCACAAACAGGACAACCCTGTAATAGTTATTTGTACCACTTCTCAACAATGAGCTTTATTTCAACTTCAATACTCATCTTTGAAACTTTCGTCAGAAAACAAACGCGTTTCGCGGAATCATTATTTGCAGAATGAGACTTGCGATTGTATTTTGTACTTCTTTTTTTTTTGTTTTCTACCCTTTGTGCTTCAGTTTACCTGGGCTGATTCAATGATGATATGGAAAAGACAACCATCGCAAGTACCATCAGGACATGTTCTCGGTAATCGGATCTATTGCGACATATTATATGAAAATATTTTCTTATCCCAATAACTTACATTAGGTGTTTTATGCGTTGGTGAGCATCTTATTGTGACAACCAATAAATTGCCTCTAGGGCAGACTTCCATTGCTCCTCCAACAGCTTCAAACCAGAAATGAGCATCCAATGGACGACTACTGTTATCAGCATCATCTGAAATAAATCATTCAATAACAATCATGGGGGATAATAAACACCATATTCAAGAAGCTGATTAGTCAACTTCCATCCATCTCTTTCTTTTCTGGTAGATATTTCTGCCAACCGATTCGCTAATCTTGAAAAGGATTCTCATTAGTTCTCCAAATCAATAGTTGTCTTCAATTACAATAGAGGCGAAACATATGCCACTGAGGTTTTGTTCCCTGTTGTTTCTGGCAAAACTGTCAAGCGACAAGCAGCTCCTTCGACTGACTCGTTAATCTTCAAATAATTTTTGGTTTTTTTTTTCAATTGAAATCTTTAAAAAAAAACCTGATCGTAAACCGGAATAATTCCGTCAAAAGCTACAGCACATTGAACAGTGGCCTTGTTGAAAATGGTAAAATTGAAAGAATGATAGTAGGATATTCCTTCCCGAGCAAAAACTTTAACTCCATGCACGACGAAAGTTCTTTAAGAAATAAATTTCCATGATGACTGAGACAAAAGAGAAATTACTTATTGAGCCATTGAGAGAAATCGTAATTTAAGCTTTTGTTTGCCTGTTGAACGACTAAATGACCATCTGTGGAGCATGATATACGATCAGAAGATTTCAAGTTTGTTCCACACTTGATGCAAACATCTCCTCCATTTGAATAAGAGGCATTAACGATTGTATTCTCTGGACAACTAACACAAATATGTTTCTGAGCAAAACGTCATTAAACAGAATCAGTTCTGGTAATGGTTCTCACCGAAGGATCCATGAAATGACCAGAAGGACATGGAATACAACGACCATTCTGCTTTCCCTTTGGGCATGGCAGGCATTCAGTCGCTCCTCCACCTTGTACCTCATTCTTCTTCCCAACGTTTGTCAAACTAATAGAGATTATCCTTGCTGAATCTAATGGGTTATCGTTTCCCATTGGAGCTCCGCTTCGTACGAAAGCAACCTTCAACAACATAGATTTTGCATTTAGTTTTCTTGAAGCAAACCAAAAATCGTGTAGGATTAGGTTTTGTAATTGCCAACGACCAAACTCTTTCAGGTTGAGTCCCATTGAACGCAGCCAGTAATTTAGTGTAAGAATCAGTTCTTCTGTTCGCTGATGAGTCCTCAAATTAAAACTGTTAATGCTCTCAAAAAACTATTCCAACCTCGAAGAAATATAAAACACATGAGCTATCAGCACAAGTTGTTTCAAAAACAACAGTAAATTGAGAGATAGGTGATCGAAGAGCAAGGAAGTCAGATGGAGAATGAGCTGGTTCATTAAACCCTGAAGGGTTGAAAAGTGATATGGAGACACTAGAAGAAAAAAACCTTCAGGAACATCAACAATTAATTCTAATGCGATGCCCTTTTCGAGGGAAGGAGCAGAAATGAGCATTGAACCAGAAGGCAGCCAAGCATCACTAACGTTACAGCCAGGGAAGACTTCTGGAAAAGTGACTAGAAGTTTAAAAAAAACATTCTTAACTTTAAAAAAACAACCTTCATTAATATATTCGCATCTGGATGTTATGTGGGGTGGCATCTCTTCCCACTGAGTGAATTGGTACCCATAATTGGGCATAGTGTCCGCCATACATTCTTTGCATTCTAATGAGTTTACTATTTAATTGAAATTTCAAATAAGAATTTCGCGAACCGTTGCCATCAGAGAAAAATCCTGCTTTACAGAATTTGCATTTGCCTTGAGCATCTTTAGCCATTCCTGGATTACATTTTGGACATGTGCGGGATGGAGTTGTTGGCGGGGTCTTCAATAACAAGATCAATAATTTATTGATACGCGGTTTTCACACCTTTACAGAAGAAGGAAAGTCTTCTCTACATATCTCCGGCTGCACTTTCTGATAATTTGTTTTGGTTGTCCCATTAAGGCAAGGCTCTGTTACTGGGTAATAATCATTGAGACGACAGGGAGGTCTGTCCACACATTTCTCTGCTTTTGGTCCTGCAAACAGTCAACAATTGAATTTCATGCTCATTCTACATTACCGGAATATTGTGATTCGGGACATCGTCCACAACTTGAAGAACCTTTTGTTGAATAGTATCCGGGACTACATGGCTTGCATTCTGCAGCTCCATAGTCTGAATAAGTTCCAGAAGGGCACGAAGTACATTCCCGTGTGAAAGCCAAGCCTACAAAAATGAATGTTTCATTCTCTTTCTATGAAGAGCATTTTTCGCGTACCAACAACATCAATATGAGAAATTCGCAAAGGCTCTGTTATCTTCTGATAGCCATTGCTCCGAAAAGAAACTGTCCAACTGATGACGTTTGGACCTGAAACTCGGGATATTGAATAAAGCTGATGAAAGCCTATTAAAAACCTGAGCGTAACTCGATTCTTCGTCTTCTCCAATCTCCATTGGATGTTGTTTGATCGTTTGTAGGGGAAGATTTGGATGTATACTTATTCATCATTGATTGGAAAGCTTCGCTATAATTGGAAGTATAAATTGGCACAATGGATGACACATGTCAATTTCACATTCAATATCTGTAACAAACTGACTTATAACTTTGGCATTGTTGATTCCGAGCTTCAACTTGTAAAGAAAATGCCTCTCTATTGTGTTTTGGAAGCCGAAAACCGAATTCTGCATATCCTGGCCGTACTAGCGTGGCCGAGAATGATAAACGAGAAATGCAAAGTGATGGAATATACATTAGCTCTCCATCCTTGAGTATCCACCCAGTTCTGTTATTGAAGAAATACACATTGAATCTCTTATAAAAACTTTTAAGCTTACTCGGGTGGGCATTTTTGAGGTTGTACGGAGACTGTACTATCTGACAGAATATCAGACTCTGTATCGAAGTTCTCAATGGAGAAACCGTGCGGCAAGTCAACAAATTCCTCAAAGCGAATACCACCACCCAAACTATAACTACCTGAAACGTAGAGAACGTAGAGTAATGAAAACAGCATGAGCATTTTGAATTCAATAAATTATCGAATTTAAGGCAATACTTACCCGGAGAACAAGGTCGGCACTCCTGTGTTACTACATCTAAATAGTTTCCAGGCGCACATGAGAAACCTAGAAAAACTCTCTTAGTTTTTGCTCAGGATATTCTAGTCCGTACTGCAGTTAATTCCCGTTTGAGGAGGTGGGAGATTATCACAAGTATGGCCATCACGAGGAACGGCTACACGCCATCTCTGCCCCCGGTTATTACATTCCGTAAATTCGAATGAATAGTCAGCTTGAGTGCAGTATTCTGCCAAAGTTATATGAATGATTGATATGAGAAAGAACCTGAAATTTGATTCGTCAAAAAATATACAATTGGACGAGCGAGAGTCTACTCTTGTTTAAGACAATCTTCTCTAATTGACCATTTCGCTAGGTTTGTTTTCACAATGAGCAAATCGTGTTTGTTTTTATTTCTCTTCGTACTATTATTCAATTCATATTTGTTATCAAATATAAATCAACATATAGTTACATACGGTTGAACATGAATCGTCACGTCCACATTTTGAACAAAACGTTCCTCGAGGACTGTATATTAAGCTTTCGATTTTATATTAATTTTCAGTATCAAATGTGAGTTTCAAACGATTATATTTGAGGTGATTTAATTCGATTTGAAAGCGAAATACAGTGAATAACCGATCTGCATGTTTTTACAATTAAAAATGATTTGCGAGCACGTTACTTAAGGTTTGAGACTACTAACTTACCAAATCATTGAGATTTTTAGTGTTTAATGTAATTATTAGATATAACTTAGCATAAATTCGAATAGGATATAGCTAGCATCTATATATGGTGAATAGTGTGTATGTGTGTATATGTGTGTGTGTAGTTGTCTGGGCTCAAGCCATTCGTTCATGCTTCTTGCCTTGGGCATCAATATTCTGCTGCCTTATAGCCTCTGCGTGTCTGAATGGCTTTCCCATTCGAGACATAGCCTGCGTTTGCACTATATTAAGCATGTATGGATGACACACGAGTCTCCTCTTAATTTTCAGTTCCTCACGAAATGCAGAATGTGCTCTCGCTAGCACTTTCAATGATAATATGTGTCTCATCACAAACTACTCCAAAAGTTTTGTTGATATCGTTCGATGGATTTCGTTCAGATTTACTAAATGAAACTTTGGTGATACCAAAAATTAGATAAATATTAAACTTTTTTGGTGTAAAGGTTCCTAACATTTACAAATGGGCAAAACAGTCAACGTGGTTTACGAAGGGATCTCAACCGACTTATTTTACTTATACAGCTCCTAACCATATGGGAATCGTCACGGGTTTTAGGAGCTAGAGAAAAGCCTCTGTTCTCATTTTAATGCTTACAGGTCTTTATCAAGAGAGTCATGGGATAGTATCAAATTATTTCTATGATGAGAAAACAAAGCAAATGTAAGAGAAACTCATAATACTATTAGTCATGAATATTTGTAGTTTTGATTATTTCAATTACACTCGTAGCGCGAATGAAACTTCAAGGAATAGTTCGTGGTATCACGGGGAGCCAATATGGTTGACAAACGAGAAGTACTGAAATAGGTTCTAGAGGGTTTCATTTTCTTCAATCAGGGCTGGAACTTCTCGCCATTCAGCTGTTCTTGATTGGCCCATGAATGATGTTTCTTATCCGAGCGAGCCTCATGTTCCTACCATCGCCAGGTATACGTTGATGAAGAAGTCTTTCAAATTCTTTATAGAGCTTGGAATGTGAATCGGAATTATTCTCAGTTGCTTGAAGACTCGGAAGAAGTTGTAAGATTGTTCACAAAGAGTGATAAGCCTTCAAATTTTGTTGCCTGGTTAGTAAACATGATCACTGTAAGTTAATTTTGTGTTTTCTTAGGTACATTGCGGAGCCTGATCAAACTTTACATAAAAATGGCTTCAATAATGGAAAGCTTGCTAAAACACTGGAGAAGCTTGATATAATTTTCGAACATCTGCTTAAAACTTTAGAAAAGTCCTCGATTCGAGACGAGGTGAACATTATTTTAACATCGGACCATGGGCATGCTGAGGTTAACTTCACAACTTTGTTGGTTTGAGCTGTGGGGTTCTTTCAGATTGTCGATTACAAACATATAATGTGCTTGAAGGACTACCTGCATGGAGATGGTTTTGTGGCTACTGATCACATGATCTACGCTAAGAATGAAGCCATTGCTGAAGAAATTTTCCTTAACTTGACTACAGCCGTGAAGAATAATGCTTTTGAAGTCGAATTGTATCGAAAAAAGGTTTTTCGTGGTCTATATTTCATGCAACTTCCTTCTTTTCTCTAGGATCTTGATGAGAACTTGCATTACAAAAATAGTGATAAAGTTGGTAGTATCATACTCGAACCAGCAGTAGGCTCTTCCATCTCCTTTTCCTGTACCGCTGATCAATTAGAGAAGTGAGGTTATTATTCGCTAATCCTTCAATACTTCTTTGTAGAACATATGGTCCTAATGGGATAATGAGGTTCAATGCATCATCTCATGGGATGCATCCATCTAATCCTGAAATGAGAGCTATTCTTGTAATGAACGGGCCAAGTTTCCATAGCAACTTCAAGGTAGCAACTATATCTGATATAGCCTTATGAGGTAATTCTAGATTAATGAAGTACCAGAAAATATCGACTTGTATCCATTGCTTTGCAAATTGCTGAATTTAACGCCGAAGCCTAATAATGGCTCTTTGGACGTAATTGGAAAATCATTGAAAGCGGAAGAAAGCACAAATAGCTTCAGTGTTGACATACCTCGAGAAATTAACTACAGTGTACTTGCGGTACGTAAGACGAACATCTGCATCTGTAATTATATTGTTCAGGATAACATTGGCTTTTTCATATTCATTGTTCCTCCTACTCTACTTGTGCTGGCGTTTTTAGCTTATGGCTGCAAACATACCATTATGAAAAACGACCCAGAATGGGCAAGAGCCTCTGGTGGCTATCGGCCTTTGTTTACGGAAGGCAATGATCTTTTGGTGAGTTTATAAAACGTATTCTTTTAAGTTATTTTCTTAGCCATCTCATAATACTCAACTTGGCAATGAATCGGTTACGATGTCGGGACTGTTAGCGGCAGAAGATTCTAGTGAGGACGAGCTGTGACATTAACTAATTTATAGGAAAGCATAGTTTTTAAAAAAATTTATTTCCATTTGTCGGGTACAATTGGCTGTGTTTGTTTGTTCGGTGCGATAATTAAATTATTTCAATTTTTCTCGATTTGTGGTTGCTAGTTAACAGTTTTTTTCGTTTACCTCAAAAGGTTATTGACTCGATTGAAGGGACATTATATTTCTTAATCAGAGAGTACTGATGGATCTTCTTCCGAAAAAGTCAACTGATTTCGCGGATCCCGTTTATTGGAAGAATTTTTTTGCTAAAAGAAGTTTACCTTTTGAATGGTTAGTTTGAGGTCATTGTACTTACTTTCAACTGATAATTTGTGGGTACGGAAGCTATTCGGATCTGAGCGAGATTTTGGAGTTGTATATCAAAAGACAAGATAAGATTCTACAATTAGGATGTGGTAATTCTACATTGGCCTCAGATGTATGTGGTTCTTTCTCTGATCATCTGAAATAAGTTTTCAGCTTTTTGATTTCGGCTTCAAAGATGTTCACAGTATCGATACAGACGAAAGAGTTATTCAACAACAACGAATAAAAAACAAAGAAAGAGCGGGCTTAAGTTTCGCTAAAGATGATGCTACATCTGTGAGAACTTCAAGATGATTGTTGAATCAAGCAATATTACTATTTTAGCTCTCTTCGGACAGTGAATTATATACGGCTTGTATTGATAAAGGTACTTTGGATGCTCTTTTGCCACCCAATCCATCAGAAGAAGAAACTAGAACAGTTTGTAATATGTTCGATGAAGTACATCGAGTGTTGAAACCAAGTAAGTACCGAGTGAGCTTAAAACTCCAGAGCGTATTCTTCAGACGGACGTTATCTCATTGTTACATTGGCTCAACCTCATATTTGCAAAGCGTGGTTGGAGCATTTCATGGCTAAGTAAGGGTAAAACAATATGTTAATTCTAACTTTATTCCCAGGAAACAGTACATCATTAGAGTTCATGAATTCCCCACTACTGTCAGTTCTTTCCCCATGCCTGTATTCATCCTAGTTGCTACGAAGTTATTGAAGCCAATGCCGATGGAGCTTGTAAGAATTAAGGTTTTGGATTGATTTACTTTTATTAAGCCCATCGAATTGAAACGTGCGACCTCGGCTAATTCCGAACGGTTCACCAAAGCAAGTCTCCTCTTGGATGGAGTACATGCGCAACAGGAACTTAGCAAGTTTATAAATCATTGCTCGAAGTAATTATTAATTTTTCCGGTGTTAAATAAATCGTGATATGATTAAGGAAGCTTGAAGACCCTGATGTGCATATAGTTCTGAATGGTTCTACTGGTCCTCGCTATGCTATACGGATATGCGATAGTCCGGACGTGAAGGAAATCAAATCCCTTACAGCCTTTGTTGTGCCCATCGGAAGGTTTGCCCCTATGCATTTACATTTTATCCATCCCTTAACAGAGATCATGAATGGACTTTCAAGACAAGCGAAGGTAGGGAGGAAGTGAGGAAGCAAGTCAAAAAAGTTAGAAAAAATACTTTTATACAATTTTAAGTAATACATCTAGGACCGTGTGATGTTTGCTTACCTGTACAGAAATCAGAAATATCCTTCTATGGAGTCAGTCAAAGATGAGTTGTCAGCTTTCGTGTCGCGCTTCCGTCCTATTGATTACAAAGATAAAGTGAGCTTATCGGTTTGCAGGAGTATTTTTTGCTTTTGTAGATTGAGTTCGTCACAATGGGAGAAACGGATGTCAGCAAGAGAGTTGCGGAGGGGTCTTCCGAGTTTAACGGTGATTGGGTCGTAGAAGATGTAACCGTGGAAAACCAAATATACCGAAGACTTATCTTTATGGAGAGTCAGAACTTGATTCAATCAGAAGCTCTGCTGAAACGTAAACTTGTTTTTATAATGGACGGTGAAGCTTCAATGAACATTTCACAGGGAACAAGAAAGGAAAATATGCCATCGATTTTGATATTTTGACCTGCGACCATCATGTTCAAATGATATGTGGATTATCGTTGTTGAACCCCAATCTCTTTGATGAGTGTGCCAAGGAAAAAATGAAGGTTTGGCTTCGCTTCAGTCATTTCTAGTTTGTTGTTACAGTGTACTGTCTTAGGCTTAGGTGGAGGATTATTAGTTCATTATATCCATCGGCATTTCCCACATGTAAGTACTTTGATATTGCGAGTGGAATCTGAAAGTTTTCAGGCGTTTGTTACCGGAGTCGATATAGATCCTGCTATCGAAAACATTGCCTATGAGCATTTCGGCTTACCAAAGAATGATTCTCGACTGAATATCCAGGTTGTTAATGCTCTCGCATATCTGGAACAAGTCGCTCAAGAAAGTTTGTTTCTTCTCTATTTTTAGTTGTATCTGCTGCACTTCAGAAGCAGAGAAGCTAGATGCTCTTTTCGTCGACATTGCGGGATCTTCTCATGATGATGGTTTAAGTTGCCCACCGGCATCGTTCTTAGAGGATAATGTTTTAAAAAATATGCACAATTCATTAACCCAAAACGGCATGACAGTTACATTATTTTTGTGTTAATTTAGTTGTTCAGGACTGTTGGCTATGAATGTTGTCACCCGTGATCTTAAGAAGTTGGAGAGTATTAAAAAACAAGTCAAAAAGTACTTCCCTTCACTCTATTCCATTAAGTTCAGCACAGATGTCAATGAGGTATTTCACAATAGTACACAAAGGAACTTATTATCTGTTCAGGTTCTTCTTGGGCTTAAGGTTGATGTAGTTATTGATGTTATCGAGTTGGCAAAACGATTGCCAAAGAAAAAATGGACGGAGGAATTGATCAAATCGATTCCCAAGATGAAAAAAGTTGTTTGAATTTTATTGTTTTCCTCTCATGGTTTCCTGGTTATTGTTGATTTTGATTTACATAATGAAACTATACGTTATAATGCGGAATTCCTCGCTCTTGGAATGAATTATTGCGAAGCAAATTAGCTTTTCAGATTATCTTCGAAGTTCATCCGTCGCCCACTTCTCAAATAGTTCTTTCAATGATTTTTTTTAGTTTTTTCCTGCTTCTTCTACCAGACTAATGTTTACCAGTTCTTATTTAACTAAACTAAATTGCTTCCTATTATTTTAAAACACCAACTTTCAGTTGATTTCGCAAGCCTTAACACCAAGAAGTTTTCAAACCTTACTATTGCATACTAACCAATACATTATTTCTCCATCAACACCATCTATAGATGAGGTTTCTTTCAATTCTCGTTTCTCAACTTTTATATAATAGTATAGAGAATGTTGTATTACCATTCTAAGCAAACAACCTTCATAGTTATCCCGATTGTTAGATGAGTAATCAAGAGCCATTTTCCAGAATTTTTTTATCGTCTTCTGTGAATTATAGAAGGCGCGGCCAAGAACCGGTTACTTGAACGCCATGTTACAGGGGCGGAGGCCGAATCGGGGCGTTGTCCCTAATCATTCAATCAGAGTTTACCTTTGCTTCACATTCGTTTATTTAAATTTCTCATCATTTTTTTCGGACACTCAAAAACAAAACTCTAATGAGATGGTGACACATTTCCCTAAGAACAAAAATGCCAAGAAGCCAGAACCTTATAAAAGCCCTGTACCGTCAGATTGCTTCCAGAAGTCTGTAGATAGACGTTCTATGATACTTCCAGTAATAATTAGCCAAATATATAAACTGTTCCATATGTTTTATGGCTCAGACGCAATCGTTCATCTCTCATTTTATTCTTCGAAATGACTTAATCATAAGCAAATTATTCTAATTTTAGGCGGAATGGCTGATTATATTAAACAGGTCACTATTACAGGTGATCTAACTGAAATCGGAGAAAAGGTGATTCTATTGATTTTTTCCGCTGATCACAATAAGTTAAGGATGATCTATTGAGAGCCTGGTGTAAAGAAGTAGCTAAGGAAATTTGGGAGCAAAAAGCAGAATTTGCTTGTGTTCACGTTCAAGGCCTGTTGAATAGCCGAGATCCAGATTTCACTGCTCGTGTAGTTTTAGGAGGGTAAGTCATGATTTCTTGGCCATTTATTTTGCTTTTTTTCAAGAATTATCGATGATCCCGAGATTTACCGCCAGTTTGAATCATCAAGGGCCTTCTTTGACACACGTTTGACTGTTGGAAATATAAAAGTACAAAGTTCCATAGTTCTTGTTGTAGGGCCTCGGGTCACTGTATTTGTTCAAGAATAGACAAGATGTACAATATTTCGATAGATTCTCTAACGCAGGTTATCATGCTCTTGCACTTGGGCATAAACATGTCATAGGTGAGGCACAGCCCATTTGACTTCACAACCATATTTTAGGAGATACTGAATGCGAAGGCTTTCTTCAAAATACTTTCAATCAGAAATATTCCTTTACCAGAGATTTCTATGTAAGTCATTCGTGAAATTTGCCTTCTTATGTTTTTTTTCTAGAGAGATGATGGTTCACGAGATATCCAGCAACAAAGAACTGGCTTCCTGTTGGCTCGTTTTAGAATTTACTCCAAAGAAGTTACTTTTATAAATCTGAATTTGCATTCCGTACCGTTCGAAGACGTGAATGAAATTGTAGAGCAACCTCAAATCACTAAGGCTGCTCAAACGAGGGAAAAACAAATCGATTTGCTACTCTCAGAGTTCCGGAACTTCTTAGTTTCATCTTTAACACGTATGCTTCAGACTGGAAGAAGAAGGACTAAAGAACGATTCCATAATAGTAGCGGGAGCTTTCAATTCGCAATTACACGAAACGGAACTATTGGACGTTTGTGATAGAAAGTATATGTTTTGATTGAACAAACTTCTTCAGTACCTTGCTAAGACGCAAAGAGTATCAACAGTAGCTCGGAAAGATAATCAGGGCAATGTGGAAGCCATCGAGCATATTGATCGGCACGGAAGGGTTAGTGGATTTCACAATAAATTCTTCGAAGTTTCTCATCCAGAATATCACAACGGTACAGCGAAGTTGCTTCGATCTTCATTCTATTCATGATTGGTTCTTCCGGCTTGGCAGAGGACAAATGGTGAAAAGGTTCGAACACAATAATTGTAAATAAGCTGTTTCGAATTAGATACAATGGTGAACTCGCCGCAGTAGCTTTCAAAGGACAATTGAAAGAAGAAAGCGTGTTCTTCCAGGTTTGGGTAATCCCACTACTTGTGTCAATGTTATTCTAGCCCTCACGATCATATGAATGGACAGAAAAAGAAAAGGAGGAGTTCATGAGAAAGTTGTGCCCAGCTTGGGCTGATAGGATCCTTTATAATGAAACTATGGATCGCCTCTTCCGGCATGTAAGTTTACGTTTACCCAGCCTGCATATGATTATTCTTTCTTGAAGGATTCATTCTGTGCATCAGGCTTGTATTACGGACTCGTAGCAGAGAATACATTTGTCGGTCCTAACAAACCAGTGGCTTTCCATGCAACTATTTGTTTGAAACAATAACGCGAAATCATCATATAAAACTTCATGATAAGCAGTTCTTATTAAAACAATGTACTTTGAATACCACACTTCATCGTCGTAGTCGTCGTAATAAAATATTCGTCGGCCTTCAGCCGGAGGTTCATGATGATCAAGGATAAGTTGATGACGATAACGAATAATATGCTGTTGTAACTCAGGAAACATATCAATGTCCCTAGTCATTAACTGTAATTAATATAATTAAACTACCGACAACGATATAGGGGGATCTTACCCGAAAAATTGTTTGCCTAGCATTTATCCGCCGAGCCAATCGATCGAGTTGCTCGATAGAGTCTTCGTTTTCCATGCTCGGCGGAATAGAAGACGCTTCGGTTTGAACGCCTTCTAACTCATCCCAAATCTTCTTATCTGAAAGATTATTAATGAATTTTTGACGTGAAGATGTGCTTCAAACTTTAATACGAGATCGATAAGAGAAGAATTTACGAAACAATAGTACTGAAAACGAAAGAAAACATCCGATAAAGAGTTAATATAATTAATGAATGATTGTCTATGAATAGGCGTCAGCGCATTCAAAAAGCTATAGAAGGAGGCAACATAGGAAAGAGACGCGGAAGGATTGATGTGATGACAAATATGAGCTGGGGCGATGAGGCTGCTTGCAATGCCGACACAAACATGCTCAGTTCCAGAAACTACATTATACATTGAAAATGGTAGCAAAAAAACGAAAATAGATTGAAAACAAAAATAAAAATATTACAGAGTATTCAAACGAAACTCGACCGGTGGCGTGGACGCACTTTTAAACAAAATATCGAATATTTTTTTTTGTTGGACGCAATAACACGACTTACGTACAATGCAACTCACTATGAGATATTCTAATTTTAAGCTTCATTTTTGAATTTTTAGCACAGCAGGGCGTTGCTTCGTCTAAATTTATTAAAAAAAAAGGTAGAATTAACAATTCTCTGTGTATTTCAGATGTTTCCGGCATATTCCACTAAAGAAAGGCAACAGCAAAGCTATAATCAAAGTGCAAATGAGTGAGATTTTCTAAATTCATAGCAGGAACAAAGCAACACTTTTTTGTAGTGTTGTTGATGAAGTGGAACAACCGAAGCCTCTAGATCGAGACCCCAGTCTAGCAAGGTACCGGGATCCGGTGAACAATTCCAGCTCTGCCCAACGAAACACAACGAACACGCCACTAAGAGCGGAGCATTCAAATTTTAACGCTTCAGTACCACCCCCTTTTCGGAACCCACATGCACAAGCTGGCTACTCATCTTTCCCACAAGTAAATCAGCCTGTGTATGGACGTCCGAATTTTGGTCCTGGATATCACGCTTCTAATCAATCCAATAGGCGTAATCAGGACGAGAAATCGGAGCGGTATCTGGACAGTGGAAATGGGCAAACACGATATCGCCGTGAAAGCGAGCCTCAAGCTCAGCCCATTCAAATTAAAGCTGTCGAAGGTGCTTACTCTAGCCATTCAACTGAGCTGATTATGAAGAAAAGACAAAGGGTATGCTTGTTCTAAACTTTAAATTTTATAAATTTACCATTCAGGAAGCGGAGCGAAGGAAAGCGGAAAGAAAAGCCGCACAAATGAGAGAATGTGTAGCTGTAAGACAGCTCAGAGACAGTTCAGACGACGATGATGATGATTACGTATGTTTTCAATGAACAGAGATAATTAGTACCTGGGTACATCTAGGCAGTCACCGCAACTGTTAGCGGACTTGCTGAGTTAGAGAAATTCAGGAAGAAAAATAAGAAGTAATAATGATTTTTTTTTATTTTGCATCGAATCCTTATTCAGAGATCTGAAAAAGAAAATGCAGAAAAACAAGAATAGCAAGAAAAGCAAGAAAAGAAGGTATATAGTATATCAGATCCATCTTCATGTAGTTTTCAGAAGAGATTCTTCTGATTCGGACACTTCGTCTTCTGATTCGGACTCAGACTCAAGCTCAGATTCCGATGGGTACTGTTTGCTTGTTTTTAATTATAGTTTACCCTCTTATAGCTCTTCGCGTAGAAAACGGAAAAAAGAAAGAAAGTCCAAAAAATCCAAGAAGAGAAGACGCGACTCTCGGTCACCTCCACGTTCATCGAAACCTACTGTAAGAAGCAAAGCTTCACGTTCTTCAAGTTTTAATTTTCTTAGGCCAAACCAGTCAAGTACTCATTTCTTCGTATGGATAAAAACGAGCATAATACTCATGAAGGCTTGCTCTATGATACTAGCCAAGATTCACATAACATACATTATGAGAAACTGCAACCGACGATTACTAGTTCTTACTACCCGCTGACCCATTCTATCATTGGGGCTCCTCCAAAATGGAGTAATGTGAGTTTCACTGTACTTTGCGAGAATTTATTAAGTTTGTTTCAGTTATTCTATCCTGTCGTTGTAGCAAAAGAAGAGAGGAAACCCAAGCGTTTCCATGAGGTTGATTAATTTCATAACATGAAAATAACTGCCCTTCTCTTTTCCAGGTAGTTCCGAACGAGAAAGACACGGAACGCGCTTTCCGAACTGACCTTGTAAAGATATCAGATATGCAGCATGTTGATTTTATTGAAGTTTCAAAGAGTAAACTAGACGTGTTCCGTTTCCGAGTAAGTGATCGTAGTTCAGAAGTTCAAAATAATAAATTTAGTATGAAATTATGGACGATAAGGTAGATGAATTTCAAAGTGAAGATAATAGATTGCGCATGGATGCAGAAGATAGAGAGAAATATGGAGTATGTTTAGCTCACAATATATAAACAAGTAGTGTTTAAGATAATCAGACCAGATGAAGTTCGAAATATTGAAAATCGTTTGACAAGGATTAAATATGCTATTAATGATAAGAGTGGAGATGACCAGCTATATATTGAGTTTGTGGATTTAGAGGTGAGTACGACTCAACTCGATGTGTATTCGAAAGCTTCTAGATGCAACTGTTCGAGAAAAATGCAGAATTAGGAATCAGAGCTCATACCAATCAGTCTCTACTTGATAGGTGTCTTTCTATCGTTCAAAGTGTATGATTTTGTTATATGGCGTCACTCAACAGTCAGTTCAGGGTTTGCAACGATTCCCAGCATCATATGCTTTGCGTCTCAAGAAGATTGAAATTCTGAAGAAAAAGGGAGGAACTGATGAACTTCTGCAAGAATGGGACACGGTTATAATTTTCAGTTTTGCCATAACTTACATTATTGTTATAGTTACTGAACCGTTTCTTGAACAAAACTGAAGTTTGGAATCAGTACTTGAATTTCATTCAGTATGATTCCTCTATATACACTTTCCAACGAATGGAAAAAGCATTTGCCCAATGTCGTACGAAACTTGGGAACTTGATCAATGACACCATAAAGTAATTTAATTGGAATTCAACCAAGTTCTCATGACTGTTTTGTAGATCTCACAAGAAAGAACCTGATACGGAAGAATTTTATAAAGACATGTACATTAGAAGTCTGGAGTTTCTCTTCGAGAGTGGGTATTCTGAAAGGGCTATCGCTTCAATTCAGGTATGACATATTATCTATATATTCATGTATTTCATTCCCAAGGCTTCTTGTGAGTTACATCTCTTCAAGCCACCAAGATTAGCAAACGCAAGCCCCAATGTAGTTATGGCGGCTTTCAAAGAGTTTTGGAACAGTGGTCATCCAAGAATTGGAGATTACAAGTGTTTTGGAGGTGAGATGTTTCTTGTTGCAGAAGCTCATAAATGAATTTTCAAGGTTGGGCCAAGTATGATGAAATGCGCCAAGCAAATTCAAATTTTGATGTGAGAAGAGAAGAAAAGTATGAGCTGGAACTGTATAGAACTCGAGCTCAATCTCTCTACAACAAAGTTGCTGCCTCCAACGAGTCTTACATTCTTTCCTGGGTAGAACTTGAAAGAGAGTTCTCATTTTTGAACGTTCGACCATTGCGTGGAGAAGAGGGAACTGATGAGACGGGTGAATCCCCTGATGTAAGATAAAATCATCCTCTGATTAAATAAGAAAGTGATTTTATAGGATACTTTCAAAAAGGTCGTATTTGATGATCTTTTTATTTCGGAAACCTTCTTCCCTCTTGATGTTCTAGCTTATTTCGGTATAACTTTCATAGAATTCGTTGGGTTTCTTTTTGTATGTTCTTCTCTAACGATATCTATTCAGATTCCCACGGATGAAAGCACAGTATCTGTACTTCGCAAGATGGATTCATGTTCTTTGACCAGTATTTATAACTCAAAGCCTTTTCTTAAAACAATGAAAAGCATTATATTGGCTTTAGCCAGATCAAGTAATGAGGCTCAAATTATGATGTCATACATACCGACGTAAGAATGAGTCTTTCCTAAGTATTATTCAATCAATTTTTTAAAGATCCATTCGGCTTATGAAATTGAAACATGCTGGATTGTCTGAAAAGAAGATTGTGAAAAAGTTTATAGATAAAGTGCTAAAACTAACCATAAAGCTGGGTATAATGCAAGAAGAGGTGAAAGAACTAGTATTCTACTTTGCCGCCTTTGAGGTTCTTTTTAAATTAGTATTAATTTATATTTCGGGCTTACTAGGCTATGAAAGTTGGTGTTGGAGAGAAACCGCAACAGTTCATGGAAATGTTGATTAAAACGCTGTTGCAACATGCTAGGAATGGTTTCGAAAAGCTGGACAGTCTTCGAGCATCGGTTTTATTCTGTGCTATGCTGACTTATTTAGAGGTTATTCGCGCAGAGAAAAACACAAATAAATGTCGAACCTATTCAGATGAATTCGGAATTGACCATTGAACAATATATTCAACAAATGACGAAATGGATGTGCTTTTTGGAAGAAGATCAACCGGTTCGTAATTTGAAGCAGTCACAATAAAATCAGTTTTCAGATATCACCAAAACATTATCTACAAACGTTTGCTCTGCTAAACCAACTGGAGAATTTCGCCTTCCCCGTTTCAGAAGAGTTCGAAAATGTATTTCTCTGATTGCTCTCCATTCAACTAATCATTAATTTCAGTACATTTCCCTGATCGAACATGCAAAAACCGCAATTTGCTCTCTACAAGTGTATATGGCTTATTGTAGATCACGTAAGTCTTCTTTTAGTTCCTACCATATATGAAGTTTAGCGAAAAATGGAGGCGGTTGGCTTAGTGAATGTAGAAAGATAATTATTGGGGAAGAAGAGTTCTATCCGACTAGACGAGCTCTATTGAACGTTCTGGAATATCATTGGGTTTGATCGTTTCATAATGTACAAAATTACGGAATGTTTAGAAAACTTATCACTCTCACCGCTCAGAGTTCTTGGAAGAATGTAAAGCGTTCATTCGTGTGCTCAACACATATCCAGAAGGCTATTTGAAGTGAGTTTTCCATGTTATGACCCAATCTGATTTTTTTTCTTACAGATTGGTGAAACTCTTCACCTCTCTGAGATATTACAAAATCTTACCTTTCTTCGATGAGTTAGAAAGTGTTTCTGAGGGTATAAGTAAGAAGTATGCAGCGCTGTCTAAAATGCTACTTCTTACACGTGATTCGGATTTCTCAACTGAGGTTTTTTTGAGTTTGCTTCTTGATATTAATTTGAAGCTTTCCAGAGCTTGCGTGGTCAAAGAAACTTATTGGAAGTCGCAACTGGTTTGAACGATACTTCCTTCTGGCGCTTACTTTTAACAAGATATACTGGTGAAAATGTAAGGTGTTCAGAATATCTTGGTTTCTATTTTGTTTTAAGGTATTCCTACGATCTCTTGAGCAGTGTGCATGGTCTAAATATTTGATTATTGATAGAATCGAACTGAAAAATAACAATTCCACACTTGAGGAACTTCAGTAAGATTAAGAGCTGAATCTGTGAACATTTCATCTTTTCCAGATTATTGATGACTGAAAAAGACACAAGAGTGATCGTCGATATTGAAGAAGTTGAAACTCTTCTGGAAAATGCTGTTCCTTCACAAGGTACTCATTCGACTTTATTATAATTTAATTCAATTTTTTTCAGACGAGGAATGAACTTAAGAACGTTTTAGAAACTTGTTTGTGATTGTATTAACTAAACATTACATTTTAAATTATTTTATTGTTTTACCGTTCATTATGATGTTCACATCAATCGTATACATCCTCTCTTTTCCCCTTTTCTTTTTCTTTCGACATAGATCTTCTTCAGATGTCAACTGGATTTGAATCAGATTTGAATATTGGTGGGATGGGATCTCCCCCGGAGCAACAACGGTTCAGTCTTCAGATGTTTAGGTTCGTCTTTTTATATTTCTCTCATGAATAATTTCTTGTATAGTAAGCCGTCTATTGTTGTTGCTCACTTATGTTTTCGAGCGGCTGCCTTGGCATACTATTTCTTTGCTACACTGCTCTCAGATTCGTTCATAATCCAGTTTCTTGTGATCGTAATGCTGTTCTACAGTGCAAATGTTCATTGTCTATACTTGTAGCTCATTTTGCTCTCAATGGATTTCTGGGTTGTCAAAAACATTACCGGAAGATTATTAGTTGGTTTGCGATGGTGGAATTTTGTTGATTCGAATGGAAATAATCACTGGAAGTTCGAGAGTGCTAAGGTACTCACTTTATAATGCTGAGAGATAATTCATCTCATTGAAGGATACATCACGGTTCTCATCGATGGATAGCAGAGCCTTCTGGATGGGTCTTGTGTTAGCTCCTTTAGTATGGTTTTTCTTCGTTTCCATGGCGTTCTTCACTTTCAAGGTATTCGACTTAGTCTTTGATGTATTTCGAATTTCCTTCAGTGGGAGTGGATGATTGTGGCTTTACTGGGTTTCGGCATGACATCAGCTAATTTGTACGGATACTTGAGATGCAGATGGGCCAATTCAACTCAATTAACTAACTATTTATCGAGATTAGCTTTCATTTCTGTAAGTTGAATCAAGATAAGGGAAATATTTACTCATAACGTATTACAGATGTTGAAGCGGAACCGAAACGCTAATCAACAGGGAAACTCGGACAGTTCTAACCCCATGCAACAGTCTGTCTAAGCATTAGGCAGCGCACTAATTTCCTAACATTCTTGACGCATATTTATTTATTGATAACCACACTGGTTTTTGGTACAACTTGTTATCGAGGGATTGTGATATTGTACGTGATGATTTTGGTTGACAGAGTTATTGTTCTCTTCGAATATTTTATTTCATGCTTTATAAAAACAATTTCTTTTTTATTGGAGCCATTTCCATTTGCGATATGGACTTCTTGGGGCTTCTTGAACACCAGCATCCTGTCCATAAGTCTGTGGTTGCTGGAATTGTTTTAATTTTATAGATATAGGTTAGATTCAAAATACCGGCTCTGGCTCATATGCTGGAGGCTTTTCTTGTTGAACTGGGGGTTTGTTAACTCCTGCACTTCGTTCAGGGCATTTACAATAAGAACCGTCTGGCCCTGGAGCTCCTGGTGAACCCATGAGACCTGGTTGTCCTGATTCTCCTGACATTCCTGGTAATCCTGGTGCTCCAGCTGGTCCCATTTCTCCTAGAACTCCAATTCAGACAATATATACTAAAGAATCTAACCGTCGCTTCCACGTGATCCGTCTCTTCCTGGATAACCAACTGGGCCTTTCTGTCCTGGGGGTCCATTTTCTCCTCTTGGTCCTTGTGGTCCCTTCTCCCCACGAACTCCATCTCGTCCTGGTGGTCCTTGTTCACCAAGTTTTCCTGGTTTGCCAGCTTCTCCTGGTATTCCTGGTTGTCCTGGGTATCCCTCACGTCCTTGTTCTCCAGGTCTGCCTGGGTTTCCAGCAGGACCTTCAGTTCCCATTGGACCAGCCTCTCCTGGTGCTCCTGGAGGTCCTCGTGGTCCTTGTGGGCATACACGGCATCCTTGGTTCTTAAAATAGACAAAAAAGGTTCAAGAAAGTTTTCTTAATGACGTACAGGATCGAGGGTGACAGGTGGTGCTATTCCAGCCAAACCTGGGGATCCAGGGGCTCCAGATTTTCCTGGTTCTCCGTCTTGACCAGCTTTTCCTGGAGCTCCTGGAGGCCCTGGTGGGCATGAGTTTTTAGCATTACAACCTGAATTCTACTATTGTAACAGAAATAAATATAATCTTCATACTGCAGGTTGGAGCTCCTTCAACGAAGGCGTCTTCTTTCATGTAAGCATTGTGAAGAGCGTATGTTTTCTTTGGTGTGTCTCCATACGTTTGTCTTTTAGTTCTTCCTGTAGCGGTGCGGACCTTAGCTAGTTCAGTCCAAGTGATGTCAGCCATGACTCGGAATTCGTCAGAATCGACACGCAACTAATTTTGAAATGAAAGAATAAAAGAGTTGTAACATACTTGATCATTGATATGCTGTATCTTATAAACTAAGGCTGGAAGATAGAAAAGGCAAGTAAGTAAAGCTATGAGAGAGCATCCACAGGAGAGAATTCCTGCGTGTTTGGCAGGCAGCATTTTTCTAAATATTAAAATAAAACAAAAAATATGAAGAGAAATAAGAAAAGCTTCAGAGTACTGTCGTCTAGTTTGAGGATGAAATCTTATTCCTTATATAGACTAGTTGACACGGTCACGTATGTGTGACGATAGTAAGTATGACAAGCTAGGAGGGTAAAGAGATATTTAGAGACTAGAGGACTCGTCCTCTCAAGTAATGGGGAATCAGCGAAACAGAAGATTTTGAAAAGAGAGAAGACGTCCATGAGGAACGTCAATTACTTTCACCTCCAAATGTCCCATACAAGCTTTTGTTAGATTTCTGGGGATGGGGAAAGAAAAAAGTAGTCATCACCGAATGTGAGAAGTTCTTGCTGAATCATTCTACTCCAGGACGTTCTTCTAACTTTCTTGTTGAAAGTTTGTACAGCTTACATATCTTTTTATTGTACCATTGGAATTTTCAACGGAAAAGAAATAAAGAAAGAGAAAGAGAGAGGGAGAAAGAGAGAAAGAAAAGAATAGGAAGAAAAAAAAGATGTAGAGAGAGACAGAGAGAGACTGCATATAGCGAATATGAACAATCCAATCCTGGCATTACAGAACTTGCTTGAAGAAACTGGTATTGCGAGACAGGAGTAGCATTACATCATCCCATGAATCATTTATTGTTCTTTTAATTATTCTATCTTAATAATTTCTTAGTTTAAGCTCTTTTAATGGATTCAGTTGGCGTTCCTAATTATGAGGGAGCTTGAAAGGGTCTCCATGACAACGACCTGGGTAAGCATTTCCTACAAGGGCGTTGAATGTCATACGCATATCCTTGCACATTTCATGAATTTATATTATTTTTTGAAATGTTGTTGTTGTTATTAATGGTTTAAAATACACTTTGAATTTGCTTGAGCATGCTGTTTCCTTTTGATATTTCGTTTCAACGAATTTTACTGAGCAAGCCTATTAAGTCACTCAAGTGAATTGAAATGTTTAGCAAAACACGGAAAAAATCGAAAAGAGAATGCAGAATGGTCACTGTAAAATTTATTCTGAAAATACTTTTTGGTATATAATTGATTGGCTTGAAGAGGATTTGTTATCTTGAAATTCAATAAACTATGCGTTTCCAAGGAAACGATCGTTTTCATATCGTGTTGTTTTCTTACACGCACACCTGAACAATTCTATGGTTTTTGAACATATATAATTTCCTTTTTTTCTAATTCTACCTCTATGTGCACCCGCATTTGAGACTCTCAATTATAGTTACATGGATGATACTCCCGGCCTGGGTGGAAGACACAGAAGCCTTACGATTACACAGACATTAGACGAAATTTTGGGTGTTGGTCCCAAAAATGGTTTGTTTTTTTCAGTTTGTACTCTCCTATTCATTTTAATTGTCCTCAGATACATATGGAATTAATTCGACTATTCGTCCTCCTACTCGACATGGACGAGAATCTACAAGCTCTGAAGAGAACAAAGAACCAACTCCGACAGATTCTTTATCATCTTCGGCAAAATTGAAAGAATCTTTTTCGAATGATACGTTCGACGATGATTTTCTTTCGAAACTGTAAGTCAGTACAGCTCGATCTCAGCGTCAGTCAACTATTTAGGAATGAAATGAGGAAACGAACACAGATAGAAAAGCAGGAAAATAGCAGCGAGAAGAAATTAAGGTGAGTTTTTATGGATGTCGCCTATTGACCGCTTATATCTGCAGGGAAGTCATCCGTCAGCCTAGTGGAATTCAAGAAGAGGACGAAGATGATCCTCATAATGCTAGTAAAACGCGTGATCTTCTTAGAATCGATTTAACTAAGGCTAGCATTACTCCTTCCTTTAGAGTAAAAAGAAATTTTAGATGCAGCAATCGAGACCTACTTCGACAGACACGGAAGGCGACGATCACACTTTTAGGATAGAAGAAGAGCTGAAAAAAAAAGAAGTTAAACTTGTAAGTCGAAAGAAAACAGAAGAAAAGATGTGAGTTCACAGAAAAATAATTTTTCCTTATCTTCTTTCTATCAGACCCTCCAGACTGTTAGAAAATCGTTCGAATTCCATTGCCAATCATATTAGCTCCAGTGGACAACATAAAGTTTGGTTAGAAAAGAAACTGGAAGATGAACGTAGAAAGAAGAAGTTGGAGAAGGAGAAGGAGGAAAACGAGAAGAAGGTAAAGAAGGTTCTAATAATTACAATAACTCGCAATATTGAAGAACAAGGAGGAAAAGAAAAAGATAGCAGCTAAACAATTTGAAGCTTGGAAAGCTAATAGAGACCATGAAATTAAGGAACAGAAACGAGTAGAGAAAGAAAAGAATTTAGAAAAGCAACGGGTAGAAGAAGAATCTAAAAAACAGAGACGGGTTGATGCTCAAAAAGTTCGTTATCAAAGAAAATTGGGACAGCTTATGTATATTCTTTAGACGTTCGAGGCATGGAAGACAGAAAGGTTGCGGACGATTTTGGATGAGAAAACTAGAACTAAAGAAGAAGAAGAGGATAGTAGACGAAGAAAACAGAGAGCGAATGTTTTGAAAAAAACAGAAGCTCACGCTGCTTTTGATGCTTGGTTCGTTTTTCTGAAAGCTAAATATTCCCCAAATTCATATTTCAGGGCGCGACAGAAGCAGGAAGAGGAAGATATTCGTAAGCTTATATTAGAGAAACAACTGGCTCATGAACGCAGAAAAATGGAAATAGAATTGCAGGAGAAAGAACTTTTGGCTGAACAGGCCTATCAAACTTGGCTCCAATTCAAGGTAAACAGTTTGTAACATTCATCCTTTAATGTTAAAATATAGGAAATTGAAAAACTAGACCTTCGTAGCCCATCTGTCATGTCAACGCAATCGAACAGTCGGACACCTTGGGTTCCTCCTAGCAATACAGTTCCCAGACATTTTGTTAGTACAGGAAATAGGTTCTTACACTATATATGTACCATCAGTGTGAAAACTTTTTTAGGAGAAGATCTCTAGACAAACGAATACCCAGAACTCCCGTGAATCGAATGCATCGCAGTTATTCAGCAAAGAATATTTTTACAGGAAAATGAGACCCAGTCATATCATCAAATACTTATAAGAACATATTTCATTCGATCTGATTCATTGTAGTTAAAATAAAAACGTCCGACATGTCTATTAAGTTTCTGAATCGTTCATTCAATTACTTGTTGAGTAGTTAGCACATTTCTTGATAAGCTTGTCGGTGGCTTATCATTTTGGGGATTAGATTAAGTGCAAGAGATATATTCAATAAAAAACAATTTCTTCCAAATATTTTTGGGTAAGAAGGTCTCTGGGGCGGAGTGATAAGGGAAAAATGTTATCAAATCAAAAGCTCACAATGATATTTGAAAGTTTCCACATGCAAAAAAGAACGCTCCTTATTCCAAACAGAACTTTCTTTCGTTTTTCTCGAACTATCGCATTTGAAAACTTTGTCTAGGTGGTCATATCACTCATCTCATCTCTCCGCGCTTTTTTTCCGACCGCCTCTCATCAGTGTGAAAATGAAAATGAAACGCTGAACACACGTGGATCTCACGTAGACAAATGTATGCGTGCTGTGTCCAATGACTTTTGCTCCGTACTGAGCACCATAGCTTCGTTTATTTTTGATTTACTTTCTGCATTACTTGAATAATGTTGCATCCTATCAATGACTCGAATGATTTCTGGGAACGGAATGCTTTCAGAAACTCATCAAGTGATCGAAAAATTATCTTTTATCAATTCATATTACTTAAGAAATTAAACTGTATGGATTGCGTAGTTTCCACGTGAGGTGTTACTGCACCGATCAACCAACTATCAGAAGATTTTTATCTCTGAATTCTCATGTATTCATTAGATATAAATAAAAAATTTTTTTGAATTTTCTAAACAGACTCAGGCATCCCCACCCCTTTTTTGGCGATCGTCCGAGAACAAATGCTCTTTCTTTCTCTCGTAGTCTTTTCAAACAGTTTCCCTCATCTGCCGTTTATGTGAATGCTTTTTTCCTCAACCTCAGCCATCTTTCAATCTTTTGTTTTAGAAGAACCAACGCCAGAATCATGACGACGGTTCGGAAACAAACGGATGGGCTCCGTATGAAGGTATTTTCTCATTCAATTCAGTTTTAATTCAAATGTATCAAGTTGACCTAGAAAGTGCTATATGTTGTTAGAAAGTTTCATTAAATCGCGCCACATCGAACCATTATCGATTTTCAGACATCTCTCTTGTTCTCTCTTTTTTCGTCTGTTTGATTTTTGCAAGTTTCAACGAGATCGGAGAGAGCGAAGAGTTTCTCTAGGTTAACGTTAGAACTTATAAAAGTTTAATGAGGAAAGAGTTCAAAAATAAAAGATGAGGGAAATTTTCTTTTTTAGTTAACTTCCGCATCTCTTGATGTCTCTCTCTATCAAGTAATCTCTCTTATTCTTTGTTGAATATGCTTGATTTTCTAGTTCAAAGGTCTTTTACTTCTACTGATAAAAATGGCGCGATTTTTTAGAACTGATAGTATTATCAGTTGAGCATATTGTATTTTATATTAGGAACTGTAGATATCAATTTTGGGATATTGAAAGGGAAACTGTTGATTTCGAGAGTAAAGTGCATAACTGTAATTTCTGCTCAGGTTGATGGAAAATGGCTTCATATTAGTGAAGATGTAGTATTGAAACATCCTGGAGGCGCTGTAATCCTCCAATATGCGTAATATCCTTGTACATGAAGGAAAGTATATGAATTTCTTATAGAAACGCTGATGCTACTCATATTTTCCACGCTTTCCATGAGGGATCGAAGAAAGCATACAAACAGCTTGATGTATGACACCATAACTTCCATATCAGTTTCTCTTCATGTTTTTAGGCTTTGAAAAAACAAGCTTGGGATCCTTCAGAAGATTTAGAATCAGAATTAAGAAAACGTGTAGATGTATCTGATATCAATATTTCAACTTATGATATATCAGTTGAAGAGGTAATCGCTCTGTTGATTGTTCTCATTTAAATATTTTCAATCACAGGAAAAAAAAATAGTCACAAATTTCGAGAAGTTACGTCAACGGGTCACTGAAGATGGCCTCATGGAAGCTAAAGAACTCTATTTCGTTTACAAAACAGCTTCAACATTAGGATTTATGTTCTTTGCGTTCTTCTTACAATATTGGGGATGGTATGTAGATTAGTAACTGATCATCATGACCATGCACTTCTCTCAGGTATTTAACATCGGCTTTATCACTTGCGATCTCATGGCAACAATTCGGTTGGCTCACTCATGAGTATTGCCACCATCAACCAACAAAGAACCGTAAATTGAATAACTTCTTTGCTGTTATTTTTGGAAACCTTTGCCAAGGATTCTCTGCTGATTGGTGGAAAGATAAGGTATCTAGAGTTATCTTTTTTTTTTTACAAAGTTCTCTGTGTAGCACAACACTCATCATGCCGCCACCAATGTGATTGACCATGATGGAGACATTGATTTGGCTCCATTGTTTGCTTTCATCTCTACTGATTTGTCGAAATACAAGCTTCCTCTTGAAAAGTTTATATTAAAGGTATTGAATATGCTAAAAATCCACTTCTGACGTTGTTTAGATCATTCCATACCAACATCTCTACTTCACTGCTTCACTTCCTCTTCTTCGAGTTTCTTGGACATCCCAATCTATTATTTGGGCTTTCAACGAGAACTCCAGCAAGTACAACATCTACCGCAAAAACGCATTGTTCGAACAGGTTTGTGATTATTTTTCATTGTTCTATCTAAAGCTATTGCAGGTTACTCTTGTCGCTCATTGGTCATGGGTCATCCTCCAACTTTATCTTCTTCCAAACATGTGGATTCGAATTGCCTACTTTATTATTTCCCAGTTCTTGTCTGGATTCCTGATCGCTCATGTAGTTACTTTCAATCACAACTCCGTTGATAAGTACCCAGGTTTGCAATCATAGTTATCTTTTGATATGGTTTTTTAAAGCTAATTCACGGATTTTGAATAACTTCGCTTGCCTCCAAATCTTGACAACCAGAAATATGACTCCATCACCACTCGTTGATTGGGTTTGGGGAGGTTTGAACTACCAGGTAAAACAATGAACATCAAAATCGTTTGCTTATTCCAATCGTATCCAGATCGAGCATCATTTATTCCCAACAATGCCAAGATGTAACTTGAACAGATGTATGGGTTACGTCAAAGACTTCTGCAAAGTAATTCATTTGTCACATTAAGCTGATCAGACAAAATTTTTCAGGAAAACAACTTGCCTTATCTCGTGAACGATTATTGGGAGGGATATGCTTTAAATTTGAAGCAATTAGAAAATATAGCTAATATTGCTCATAAAGTGGAGAAGTCTGCATAGATTTCATCGCTCCTGTTAATCATTTGTTTTTCTTTCCTCCAAGCTTGTACTTTCAATAAAATTTCCATTTTATTAAGTCTCATTCTGTTATAAAAAATCACGATTTTTGAAAATGTGTCGTTGATAGGTTTCTTGGATAAAACGACTGAGGAGGCCTTTGAGATGATAAATTCAGAAGGTTACGATTAAATCAACTAAGACTAGTTGACAGGTTGCGTGGTTGCGTGGTTTTTCATTCATAGAAAGGTGGTAAACGTTTGAGGACTTCTATACGTTGAGCTGGTACACGTTTCGGAAACTTTGGTACGGTGAGCTAGTAAACATTTGGCAAAACTTTTCTGGCCTCTAGAAAAGGTCTGCCAGATAACAACAAATCGTATGAAGACTTTACGATGCCGCCAGTCTTCGTCTAACCATTGTTCGTACAATAATTCTCTTCTGATAGTTGGTTTCGAGAAAATTCCGACAACCATGCTCCCTGAGCCACTCAATTTTATTCCTAAAAGGCTTTGGAAACTATGGGAACAAGTACTTGATACAGTTATGACAAGGAGTACTTACAGGTCCTCAGAGAGTAAAACGTCATCCTTAATGGCATTTCTTACTTTTTTCTCATTTGACGCTACTCCGATCCAGGTCTGTAGATGTCCAGATTTTTAAAGACGTGTAGAGAGTTGTTATTTCACACTCTAATGACTAGCCGTTGTACTATCTTTCCTTTAGAATGCCGGTTCAACCTGAGGTTATAGTTGTAGCTGATGATTTTGGTGGCGAAGCAGAAATATTCAAACATAGAGATGAGCATATAACATATTACAGAAATGCCAAGTCCTTATCACTTTCAGTTGAGACATGTGAGAGTACTAAGAATACGTGGACAAGGAGAACAGACAGTCAATTATCAAAATACGGCATGAAAGGAAATATAAATCAACGTCTTCTCGTACTTCTTGTTATCGAAAAATAATTTCCAATTAATTGACTGAAATTGACAGTTGTTTGGATTTTCGACCATTTTTGAATTGAATACGAACTTTGAGTTTGTTGAAAACTTAGAGCTATCACTATTCGCTCTCAATATATTGATATTACATTGAGAAAACCTTGGAGATAATTGAATTCTATTGAAGAACTAGAGCACAATCAGTTCTTTATCTGATAAAACGAAACAGAAAGAGGATAGAGATAGATAGAATTTTTTATTTATGTATATACAGTTCATACAAGTTGGATTAAACTGTAGGTAAATACAAAGCTCAAACAGATTTGATTACTGTCAGGGTCGAAGTGAGTTGAATGAAGTTATCCGTCGTTTACTTTCCGTACATTCCGTACATTCCGTATGGGTTGTACATGCCTCCGTACATCATTTGGCGCATCATCATACGACGTCTGAATCCTCCGTATGGGCCATATCCACCGTATCCGCCGCCATATCCGCCGTATCCCCCTACAGAGTTAGAATATTAAAAATAATTGTTCAAAATAAAACTTACATTGAGCTTCAGCATAGTCAAAGAGGCACATAGAAACGGCCAAGAGAAGAAGAAGAGCAAGAACGTTGTTGATCATATTGTAATAGTGCTTAAGAAATTGAGTTGTTGGAAATTGAAAATTATCCTCCCTTATATATACATCGAACAAGGTACCACCCCTATTTGATGGACACAACCAATATTACACATGAGAAAAGACAAAAAAAGTGAAAAGTGTGTGATAGAATGGAGGAGGAAGAAGGGCATTAGAGGAAGACAAGATGTTGGCCAATAAAGAGGTGTTTTCTCTAATTATCAGTTCTATCGTGTGTAAAAATAGTGTCTTTCTCATCTTTTTTTCTTTTTTCAGATTCCATATGGTCGAGGGGCAAGGTGTAAAGAACTGTCAAATAACATGTTGGTTTGAGAGACGTAATGAAAATTCCAAATAATTCTCAAGAACGACCGTGATAGTTCAACTTATGACGTGAGGCTAATTTCGAAGAATAGAAAAAATGATTCTATTCGAATATTTCATGTTGTAAATAACAAAAAATCGTTTGACCAACTAGCATTGAAATGACGATATGACATAATCAAGCCTTGAAGTTAGACGAACAGAGGTCATCGAATTCGTCCAATTTCACTCACACATATATTTCTGCTATAAGGTAATTTCATGGCTCGTCATCAGTTGGCTCAATATGGATACGGAACGATTACTAGACAGGCATATCAGTTGTTCATAAGCTTCTTTGAACTTTCACGTCATTTTCTAATTTGATCTTTTCTTCTTTCTTTTTTGTTCATTTTCAATTAGGTTCTCCATTTTTTAGTTTCATTCTTCAGTCTCAGTATATCAAGGAACAACAATAGTTTCAAATGACGTATGGAGAAGATGAAACCACGTGAAGACAATAGCCTTCATATGTTAACCGATATCACATTGATGTTTTTATGGTCACATGTAGTAGTTGACATTCACGTGCGCACTGTTAACCAGTGACCAGCACTTTAGCATGTTGTACACTTCGCTATGCTCATGTTGTTGACGGAGAACGGTTGAATAGTAAAGCTTTTTATGAAAAGATGTTCATATGTTTCTTCTTCTGCTTTCAGCTTTTAAGATCTGCAGAGGAGTGATAGGGGAAGAGAGAGATAGAGAGAGAGAGAAAGATCACGACCTGAGCTTTCAGTTTGTTCCAACAACCTGTGTAAACAAAAAAGATGAAATTAAGTATGTTTTAATAAAGGAAGTTTTCTCATAGTTCTCTAGACAACGTTTTCTTTTCGATTCTCAATTCTGCTGAATTTCGATGAAGTTCACTTAGACGTTTTTAAGATTTCAATTGATGATTAGACTGTTTTCATGCCTCAAGCTATAAACCCTCTTTACAAGCCTCCGTCTACAAGGTCATTTTGTTTGAAGTTTAAAGTTTTTTGTAAAAGAGAATTTCCTTCTGCACCCATTGATATTGATTTATATTGATATTTGGTAAAGCATAGTTAAGTTGATGTGGTCAACGAAAAACAAACAAACAGCAGCTCAGAAGGACAACGACAAGGACTAAAATCACCTTAACGATGTATGTGAGGTTAAGAAGAAGATGATGATGTTGATGAAGATGAAGAACAAGAACAAGAGGAGAGATGGTCATCTCTCGTGTTGACGTGATTACTGAGGAAGCCGCTCTGATTACCACCGTTCAAGGAGATTCATAGAGAAACAAAGAGAATGAGAGAGGAGATGGCTGAAGAAGACCTTGTGCTTCATCTTTCCGATGATTCAGACCACATAGCTCCTTATGACTTTTTTTTTGTTTCCATTCAACAAGAACCGAAAATGTTTGAAAACAAAGAATGTGACGTTAGTTTTCAGTCATAAACTAACTTCCTTCAAAGGAAATGAGACAAAAAAAAAGAAGTGAAATGATGATGTATAGGAAACAGTAATTGTAAAGAAGAAGGAAAAGAAGAATATTGTCTCTTTTCATAACCTCCATAAATGGTAAAAAGATCAAATTTCCTTCTTTCTTCTGTACATATAGAATGGATAGAATTAAGAGTATCACCTGACATCTGAAATTATTGAAATGCTTAAGAAAAGCTCAGCCCAGCTATCGTTTCTTTTCAATTCTCCAAATAGGTTTTAAATGGAACCTTTTTTTGAAATATTTCTTCGTGACAACGAGAAAAGGCTGATGTGAAGATCGATTTTGTGATAAAATTCGTAGTTATGCTCTCAAGTTGGGAAAATGGCAAAGTAAGTGAAGCTTTGAAGGTAAGTACGGTACTTGGCTATCCACTTTTGCCTTGGGGAAGAATGGGAGAGTACTTTTCTCTGTAATTTTTCATCTCACTCTCTCCAACTCTTTCATCTTACATTGGAATGCCTGAAGCTTCTTAGAAAGGTGAGGAAGTTATGAGAGAAGAGAACTGGAGAAATAAAGAGAGAACTAGAAAGTAAAAAGGTTTGAGGGTGGCTGGTATGTATATTTGTTTGATTATATTAGGTAAATGCAATGTTTGTTCTCTCCGACTGAACGAACGACGGCTGCTGCGACTCTCATTTTCTCTCTCTCCCAACCTGCTGGACAGAAGATGGCCGAAAGCTAACTGACCACTACAATCATAGAAATACTGTAGTGAGCAAGGAGGATGAAAGAGAGAGAGAAAAGGGACTCCCAACTATGAGGAGACTCAAGACTCGCCACCATAAACGCTTGGCTAGGTATACAGCTGGCTGACGCTCCTCAAACGTTCCTACTGTCCGTACCATTGCTCAGACGAACAGAAACATAATTTTTGAACATTTCTCTTCTCTTTATTTTTTATTTCCATAGAACATTTGTTTTTTTTTTCTTCCAATCGTTCATTGTGTTTTTGCGGAGAATGAAATATTCTCAAAAGCCTCCACTTCTTAGCTTTCTTGATTTCAGACAACAACCTTTTTCCTTTTATCACATCGTACTTTAACGAACTTGTCTTGTTCTTTTTCAACTTTACATTTATTTTTTTCTAATTTCAAAGGAAATATTATAATTTTCAAGTTTTTTTCTTTCTTTTTCCTTCTCATCACAAGCGAACTAATGATATCATTTATTTCTGGTAGTAAAACCTGTTTTTGTTCAACAAAAAAAAAATTTAAAATTCTCAATTTTAACTGAAAATGGTTAAAGTGAAAAGTGATGAAAATTGGAAATGAGATGAGAACGGTCGTTATATGAATGCAAATGTAAAAAAGTCTTCGAGAATCCTGAAAATCTTTTGTTTTCTATTGTGAACCGTGTATGGAGGTTTCGTTTGCTCGTTTTATACAAACAGTCTCGTTTGAATGGAAAAAAGTTTTTTCTTTTGCAATGCTTATATGGAAATTTATAGGATCTGCCGATCAGAAGGCTTTGGGCTGAGAGAGCCATGTTCGCCATGCGATGGCTTTTCCCTTTCATACTATTAATAAGAAGTTCATATGAACAGTCAGCAATCAATCAGAATGTTGGTCAGGCGACAGGAGTTCAAGCTGGAGCTCAATCAACTCTTTTCTCAGGAACCGGAACCAATCCTTATTATGGAGGTATGTATACTTTATTTATATATTTTTAACATATAACTTAATATGTTATTTGATTATGAGATTATGAATTTTAATGAGAGCTTATTCGGCAGAAAAAAATCCCTTATATAGATAGAAAATATTTAATCTGATGACAGTAAGAGAATTTTTCTATTAGCTCTCAAATATGATGGAAAGGTTTTAGATGGGTAAAAGGCTAGTTGGGAGGTAAGAGGAAAAGAGAGAGGATGAACGGAGGTAGTAGAATGCTTGTTTGACTCCTACTATATCATCATCTATCTTTATTTGTTTACCCTCTGTGACCACTGAATATCTCATTCCCTCCAACCAGCTACCATCACATAACTGCCAAAAGAGGGGCTGCTCTTATAAGTGCAACAGTCAATAAACTTACTGGAGAAGGCTATCAAATAAATCCTTTTATGCAAATTTATAAAAATAATATTTAGTAAGAATAATATGAATCTAAAAGTAATGTTCCAGTCAATCTTGTTCCGTTCGGCCCAGAAGCTGGAGATTTGAAAGTTAATCCGGGTATGCTGACGGCTGGTCAAACCATAGATTTACATATGTTTTTCCCATTCTATGGTGGATTATACAATTACACAACGGTATCAATGAGCTTCAAAGAAAAATGGCAATTGATTCTATTTTAGTTATCAGTTAACGGATATATGGGATTTGCAACTGTATTGGATCAAGGTCCTACTATCAACGTTGGCCCAGACTCTACAGATTGGCCACGTCAAGAAGATCCGGCTATGATTGCTCCCTACTTGTGTAAACAACAGGTTCCTCAGACTGGAAATCCTGCACGTCGTTCTGGGGTTTATTATCGCCTTGTTCTTCGTCAATCTTTGTTCGGGCAAGAGTCGGGATCCAATATGAACTTGGGGCAAACCATGCAACGATCTGGTTTCTTCGGACAAGCAGCAACCCAAGCTTGCCCAGGAACTCCTGACTCTTATGTGCGTTGTGATCAACAAAGTGATTTCTTCCTTGATGAAATGATGAGATGGTTACAAGAAGGAGTGGCCGGAGCTTCTATGTTCCGAGCTGATGCTGCCTTGGTTGTTACCTGGTACAGCACAGCTTCAGCTATCTCGGGTAGATCTGACATTGATGCCGGTCAAACAGCTACTTATCAGGTATTTGCACTTTTTCTATTTGCAATACGGTTCTTTTAAGGCAATTTGGTTGACTGATCAACCGGGACGTCTCTCTTATACCATTTTCAATTACGACCGACTTGGCTTTGATGCTCAAGATTTCCGTGCCAACTCCCGCTCAGGACGTTGTCGTGCTATTTTCAACGGAGGAAATCATACTGGTGTTGTTGATGTTGATCCTACTCAAGCTTACAAAAACACTCCAAAAGTAAGGAAATAGAATGAAAGAACAACCTAAACTCCAATCTTTATAGGTTTTGGCCCAAAGATCTGGAGTTCCTCATATGGTTCGCGGTCGCTACATGTTCAGAGTTGACGATATTGTTCGCCCCGCTGGTTGCAGTAACAAGACTGGTGGTACATGTAAGTTTATAAAGTGTGTAATGAAGAAACGAACGAAAATATCTCAGACCCCATCATGATCTACCCAAATATCGTAAATATGCTTGGTGAAATGACTGTTGACATCAATGCCATGTGCCTCGAAAGAACTCAAACCTATATTCTTATGATAGAAGAAAGAGAGGTAAACTCTTATACTTACTGAACGTGGAAACTCACTCATTCGTTCGTTCAGGCCGCTACCTGTACAGTTCTTAATCCTTCTATTGCTCGCTGTAATCTTCCAAAAATTTATGATTGGGGAACGAAAACTGTTTACTTCCAACCTCAATCGAGAGGAGGGAACGATGAGAAAGCATTTGTAGGATACATCTACTTCGGTAACTTAAAATGAAAAATCATAAAACTTTAACTAAAATATTTTCAGTACCTCCGACACTAGATCCTATGAGGTTAGACATCGGTAATATATACGAATGGTTCAAAAATCCAATGCCCAACTATGTATGCTTTCATTACTATAGTTTCTTATAGTTTTAAATACCTCATTATAGTTGATGCCTATAACATGGTATCCAAGAAACTTCACAAACCCTGATCTGATGAATAATATCAACCAAGTTGGTTCGAGAATATCTGATGATGCTTTATATGGAGTACAACTCGGTCTATACGTTGTTGGTTACAGAGAATACAAAGATGATGAGGTTTGTCCTAATATAGTTATCTCATACCAATTCATTGTTCTCAGATTAAAAAGTTCCGTCCCGAGCATCGAACTCTTTGTCGATTGGCAACTTACACGAATAGAAACAGCATTGATTACAGATGGAGACCACAAGAGGAAGTCATTAATATCAATCAGGTACAATTTGGACAATCTCTTTTAGTTTTAAATTTTGAATTTCAAGGTTCAACAATGGTATTTGACTGATTGGGAAAGAATGAATACACTGTACTCTTACCGAACGGGATATTTGAAACTTGCGCCCGTACGACCGAACGATCTGAACGGAACTGAACTACTTTCTGGGTATTTGGATGAAAGCTTCCAGGATTTGAATTCGGAATTTCATTTACAGACTAGTTACTGCACCTATCTCCCTTCATTGGCTTTGGAGTCCTGAAGATACTCGGTTTACTGGTACAACATTCAGTGCTGGTGAACAGAGCCAACGTGAAGAATTCGTGAAGCAAAAATCCAAAGAAATGTGTCACGATTGGTATGATGAGGATGGAGCTCTATGGAACTTCATCAGAGATACGGAAACTAACTCCTCATGCCCATGTGTTGAAACGCAAGCTCGTATGGATCTTGGACGACTTATGCCCCATCCACGTTGTTCTCAAGTAATAATCTCAATTATGTATTCAAAAAACTTACAAAATTCAGATGTTCCGTGATATCACCTGTTCATCAATGATCGGATCCAAAAACTGTTATATGTCTTCTCAAAACATTTACTCTTCATATGCTGGTGGAGGAAACACATTCTCTGGACAGAACTCTCAGTATGAATTTAATTTAATTCGTTCTTTATTTAAATACTCTTCAGCCGCTTCATGACTCATTATGGACAAGTTTGTTGTTATGATGAAGCCGGATTCCTTATGCAAACTCCTTATCAACCAGTTCTTAAAACCCAAAAAGATTATTTCTACAATCCTGGATACCCATTGAGAGCTTATGAGTTCGGTACTGCACCTTACATGGGGCAGTTCGAGGTGAGCTTTCAAATTCTTCACCTTACTTATGTAGTTTTGATAACATTGGACTTTATTCGAAATTTTTAGGTTCCTGGTTTGTCTGTGTTCCACCACGATTATATGCCGTATTTCCTTTGTTGTAAATTTACTGACTTCCGTTGTCAAATGTTCTATTGGCGTCGTCCATCTTCGGCCTGTCAGGAATACCAACCACCAGCTACAGGTTTTTGACATTGTTTCTTAGTTTTTGAAAACTAATTTGCATAATCTCTTAGGACAAGCATCTGGATTAGGAACATTCAACACAATTGACAATGACAAGTTCATCTTCAATGAACCCGGAGTTTATAACTTCCTTTACATTCCTCAAACGACCAGAACACCAGAAGTCAAAATTCAAGTTCGGTTAGAAAGATATCCGAACAGAAAGGTTGATTTCGGTGAGTTAGTTTACCATGTTTCACGTGAGATGATTATCATGAATCCTTTTCATTTTCCAAACATTTTTCACGAATATCGGTTGTATTGTTCGGCCCGCTGAAGTCACCAACTCAATGTTTTTTTTACAGGATTATTGGGAAGATACATTCCTCAATCAGATTTGGTTCAACCTATCAATGCTACTGTCATCACAGGAATCACATTAGAAGCTACTGGTACAGACAGAGTACATGTGATGGCTCGTAAGGATACTCGTCGCTTCCGTTACCGTACTGATATCTTGGTCGGAAACATTCTACGTTATTTCGATACAATCCGTCTTCAAAGATTCAAAGGTATTTAAAATGTCGTTATGTTGTTAACTCATCATTCTGAAAATATTAAGGAGTTCTCATTTATGTTAACAACGTTGAGCGTGGTCAACCTGAGATATACGTCGTTTTAGAAGAAGCTCAAATTGGTGTTCGCATTAGGTATAATTTGCAATAGTTTCGACTTCATTGAAAAAAAATGTTTAAAGAGAGTCATATGCTTTGGATATTGATCGATTACCTATGTACCAAGAAAGTATGGGAATGCTTGATATTCAGCTATCGGTTCCACCTCAATATGGCGTTGTAAGTTTTCGTCCATACTTCCGTCTTTGTTCAATACAAAAACAACGTTTTAGAGACCAGATGGTGACAAGACACGTGAAACGGAAATGAGACAAAGATATGATCTTCCTCGAATCAGTGGTTTGATGCGTCCATTCCCAGAGCAAACCTCTGGAGCCCTGATGACTGGTTTGACATTGAATGATGTCAACTCAGAAACGTACCGTCAGCAAATCATAAATAACTGTAAGCTTCCATGAAGAAAACTAAATTGAACTTTACAATGCTATAGATCGCGTCTTGGGAACTGGAGAATCTGGTTCACAACAGAATATGGCTGGAACTTTAGCTCAAGGTCTTCCAGCTGACAATATGTTTACAACATCTAAAGATGAGGATAAGAAGTTCAATGTGTTCCCAGAGGCAAACAGCAGAGCTGAGCCAATCTACAAGGCTGCACCTGAGTATGAAGCGTAAGATAACAATATTCCTTTATCCGTAATATAATGATGAGGTGTTTAGTGGTCGAAATAGATTCGAGGCTCAGACAGGTATGGACATAAACCAATTGCTGAATGCTTGTCGCGATCTTCAATCTAATATGGCAGTTGATTTACAACCATTACAATCAACTATAAATCTTCAATTTGGAGCGCAAAACTGTCCAGATGATCCAGGCAGCATTCTGAATGATTGCGGAGATAATGTATAATTATACTTACTATATATCTGGTTAGGTAACATCATATATTTAGGTGCCTTGTCTATATTCGTATGCATTAATGAATTCAAAGGTATTGGCTAATGAAGAACAAGATACTTGGAATACATTTACAGTTGATCGAGTTGAAGCTATTCGTCAATGTGAGATTAATACATTAATCATACATCTAGCTATATGTATATAATTATAGATAATAGTTGTGGAGCTATTAATATTGAATATCCTGAATACATGATGAAAACACCAGCCTTATCACCTGGCTATCTTCAAGGCAATGTTGCTCGATTCGAATGCTATCAATCTCACTGGATCAAAGGAGACAATGAATACAAATGTAATGAGAAACATCCTTGCTCATCTAACTAACTATGTTTCAGGTGGAATCGTTGTTGATTACAATAATCCTAACAACTATCGCTTTGAATGGAACAAAGGACATCAACCATGGTGCAGATCTCGTGTGAAAGAAAATTATTTCAAATACATTGCTGTGTTCTTCGGAAGTGCTGGAGTAGTGATTGTAAGTATCTTGTCTCATCAACAATCCCATTTTCACTTGATTGAGCTTCAATCTAATCGTCTTCCCTTCAGGCAATCATCATGGTATTCCTTGTTTGTTGGTGCATCAAGCAGAAGAAGAGACAAGAAAGCCCCAGCTCATACATGACTTATGATCAACGAGATAATGGCGTAAGCTGATTATTGAACTGTTCAGTATTACCATGAGAAATGATTATAGGGTTTCCAGAAAGATGAATTCAGAATTGGATCTCCGGTTGATCGACAACCACCAGCACAGTTCCCAATTAGTGGAACACCAGCTACATTCGAACCTCGAAGGTAAACAATATAATTTATAATAACATGCATTAATATATAACTTTCAGCTTTTCACCAATTGAGACAACAGAACAACCCGGATCAATGGTTGGAGGCTATAATCCCGCGTCATCAAATAAGAATCTATTCGGCTTTAATACAAGTGTATAATAGAATTTATTTATTTATTTCGATTAAAGAAAAGAAAGAATTTTTGTATAAAAAAATCGAATTGAATGCTCACACCTTTGAATTATATTTTTGTGTTTTGTTTTTTTTGTGTTTTATTTAACTTTTTTCTAAGAAAAAAGATATCATTAACTCAAATGATATAATGTAATGACAATTATCTGTCTTAGCTTTAAATAGATTCTCAATAATACTATTTATAATAATAAATATTATAAATATATATATATATATATATTCTCAATTACACTATGGCGTGTATATACCATAGATGGAGTTCAAAGCCATTTCGATGGAGATGGAAGAGTTGAAGTAGATGAGGGAAGAATCTCTTTGTCAATGACATTTTCCATATTTTAACCATTTTCTCTATCAATCATTTCGTATTGTACATCTGCTTCATTTAAAAGCTTAAGGATTAAGCTTCACCAATTATGGGATGATGACATTAATTACCATTTATGATCAAATTACTTTATTAATTAATCTGCTGGCTTTCAACAGGTCACAACATCAGGCATATACGACAACCGTTCCGACACGTCGTTCACAAAATGAAAAATGAATTTTGACGTATTGACGTGACTGGATGAAGTGATTTGAATAATTTCCATTTTTGTTTTGAATAAATTAAAATGAAAATCTAAAAGACAAATGTATTTAATAAAAAAATTGTTTAAACAATAGTACATATAGAGTAAATCTGTATAAGATTATAATAACATTCAAATTTAATATTAAAAAAAAGAAATAATGAAAGGTTTTTCTGCATATATGCATTAAGAGAGAGAGAGAGAGAAGAAGAAGAAGTAGAAGAAGAAAGAGAGAGGGGATAGACAAAAATGTAGAGAGAGAGAGATGAGGAGCCAGGGAGAGGAAATGGAAGTAGAATATACCCATAGATAACTGTTGGAAAGAAACAAACAAACAAGAAGCGAAAACTGCTTTGGTAACCTTTAAAAAGAAATTTTTTTTTTGATTTCCTTAACTTCTGAATGTTTAGTTCTCTGGGGGGAAAAACATAAAATTATTGTTTACCTGGAGGGTTTGCTGTTATCCTTTTCTAATTTCATGAGATAATTTCCTTCAAATGTTGAATGATTGGTTCATAGGGGGAAGATAAAGCTTAGAGCCAAATACGGAAGTTAACAATGTGACGAAACATGCTTAGACTGAGCTTAAGCTCTAGGAATATGAGGAAAATATCCATTAACAATCTTAATATGGAGGAGAACTTCTACAAAGTATTCGATACGACTACTTTGGTTCTTTTTTATAATTGAGAGAAAGAGAGAGAGAGTTTGAAAAAATTGAAAAAAATGTACACTGGGGAGGGAATAATGAAGACGATCAGCGAGGTAGAAAGTGGCAATTCAGAGGCATTTCAACATTACTGAATTATGGTGGAACGTATGGTGGTGGCATCTTCTGATTTGGGATGGTTGAAGTGACAGAACCGAGACGAGGAGAGTTTGTAGCCAATGGTGGAGGAGGCTTGTATAATGGGTTATCATGCTGAGACACCTGAAAGCTGCATAATTAAAAATGAGTTAGAAAATCGTATACAATATGATCCGGAATTTATAAATTGAAAGATGCAGGGTCAGGGGAGAGAAAATTCCGGATCTTCACACAACACAAAACGCCCGGACAGTAGTTAGTCCTATCGAACAGACCACAGCACACGATTCACAAAGGGATTAAGCAAATCAAAAAGTAAGAATAAATTAAAATTTCTCCATTGCGTGAAGGGTTGTGAGTGAGTGGAAATAACCAAGATTTCAATCAAACGTCAGGAAAATGAATTAATAAATTACCTTGAGTGGTGGTCTTTCTTCCTTGGTCAGCATGGGAGTAGTTGCATGGTCCATATCGTGATCGTCACCAACTTCCTGTGGGAAAACAACGGGGTGTCCCTTACCAGTGAATTCAGAAGGTTTTTCCTGTAAACAAAACAAATTTAGAACTTGATAAGAGTATGGAGAGAAAATTAAATTTGATGTTGAGAAGGAGAGGAATATAGATAGAAAGAGAACGAGATGTAGAAAACAGCAGGTGTTTAATTAGAAGGCAGACCATCTAATGGCTTAATGGCACGGAAGACGAAATGGGATTTCAAAATGAAAAAGAAAAAGAAAGCGACGAATCGAAATTTCTTCTTACCTTCTTAACTTTCTTCTTAGTGCATAAAAGTGTGAGAAGAGCAACAACGATTAAGAAGACAGCCAGAACAGCCAATAAAATCATCCATGGGAACGAAGATTCTTGTGCAGCTTCGATTGATGGTACTGTAGTTGCTGTGTCCAAATTATCAGAGAGGCAGTTTCCAAGCAATTCCAAATTAACAGATCGAACATTGAAACGTTCAGTCATGTCACGCTCAAACTGACGATTCATCTGTTTACGTTGTTTAGTAAACATGATTTTCTTCATGTCTTCAATTCCAGATTCAGAGCAAGTCTTGTATGGCAATGTGTTGTTGCTCCACTTCACAACAGTACGTGTGGCTTCTTTCTTGATCTCTTCAATAATGACAGCATCGTTCTTGCTTTTAGTGACAGTAGCCAATTGCTTGACGAATTGAACCAAAAGCTTAGCATCAGAAGCCAGATTTTGTTTTGATGTCAAATCAAGAGCCATAGTCACCAAGTGATTGTGTTCTGGCGAATCACGAACAGTAACAGCGAATGGTGCTGAGATCATCTGGAAAACAATTAAATTATATTAATTATAAAACTAAGTATGTATTATACCTGTCCACGTTTATCACGAGCATCCAATCTGAATTGATATTCTCCAACTTTCATTGGAACTCCTTGAATCTTCTTGTCATTATAGTATAGCCAATTCTTGTCGCCATCTAATAAGAAGACAGATAGCTTCAAATTGAATGTATCTCCATCTTCAGTATCAATGAATGTAGTTGATGGTACAAGTGCTTCACAGTAGATTCCTCTGAAAGAAGAAAGAAAATAAGAAAATGTTAAAAAGGAAGATGTTAGATGAATTAACACCTTCTAGAACATGTAATCTGTCAAATCTTATGACCTAATTCCATAGCATTTGTCCATCAAATGAATGATGCTCAATCATAATTCATCTTTTTATATATCTTAAGCTTACTATATGTATACATATATGGTTAACTATACAATTCTCTATTAATCTCTTTAACTTCCAACTAACTATACAATCCAAAAAAGGATTGAGAATAGAATTATATTTTTCTTTTTACAGTAAGATTTGCGTGCAAATGATGGGTTAATGATGGAATAATAGAGTAAAGAACTAAGTGTCTGCCTTGGCAGCTGGCCATTTTCATTCTTTTATTCGTCGTCATCTTTTTCTATTTTCATCATATACTTTCTACAGCCGGCAATAGTTAGATGAAGAGTCGGAGAGAGAAAAAAAAAAGTTTTTTGTTACCGTAAAAGGATTTACTTGAGCAAATATTTGAAAAAGCTATTCGCTTACTATATGGTTCTATCTATCTCTCTCTCTCTCTCTCTACTTCTCTTATAACCTTTCTCTGTCTATCAAAAAGCTTTCAATCTCTTCTTTGATCAATAGGATATGGTTGAATTATTATAAACTACCTTATACAAGTGAAGCCATTCATAGAGTTAACAAGGCTGGGTGGACGATCAGAAGCATGTCGTGTTGTTCTTGAGGTGGTTGTTCGAACTGTTGTTGTCTGAAAGAAGGAAAAACATAAGTTTAACAATTATAATGTTTTCTAATTTCATTACCTCATCATCATTTTGTCCTTGAGATGCTTTATTGCGTGACAGAACATGTCCCTGTGTAAGCTGAAAATATGCAGATGTTTGACAGTTCAATTCAAAAATAATAATTAAAAAGACAAACACACACACATACAGACACATACAGAGACATTGAAAAGTATGAAAATGGATAGTATAAGCATACCGTAACAGCGTATTCCGTATCAGCATCATCGTCATCAAGAAGTTTGTCCATATCATCTGTGGCACTTTCGATGGCTTCATTCTCGCCGTCACAGTGTGGCTGCAAATCAGATATTCTTTATTTATTTACATAAAAGCATGTGCCGATTGTTATATTTTTTTTATTCTTGTATTTGTTCTTTCCAAAGACGAACAACAACAACGAAATCTTCTTTTGTCATCTTCCTTAAGGCAATCACATCACGGCAGGAAACGTGTCAGATTAGCGAAAAGCAATAACGGCTAATTAAGCCTTCAATCGAGTTGTCGCCAATGGCTGACCCTCTCTTTCTTATTTTACTCTCTCTCTCTCTCTTTCTCTTTTTTAACTATATGATACAATACAGTACCTTAATTATAACAACAGCTCCATCTTCTTCACCACCAATATATTCAACTTGACGAATTTCACGAGAATACTTGAAATCATAAAGCTATAACAAGAATGAGATTAAGAAAGATCTAATTGTATGAAGTGATTACCCGAATTCCTCTGATATCTTCTTTCAATAATTGGGCAACGTAGCGAGCAGAGAATAAACGCTTTGCTAACTGAAACAAACAATCGTATGAATTCAAAAATGTGAAGGATGGAGCTTACATCCATATCATCAGCATAGATAACTTCGAGCCAAGTGGTTGCTTGCTCTCCGCAAGGATTGGAATCATCTTCTTTAACGTCAATCTCTAACGTTTTCATAATACTTCCAGTTTTAATCTATAATATTGTTACATCATATACTAAATAGAATATTATAAATGTACCGTAATACTGTGTTTTCCAATATCATTCTTACTGGGGATTCCTTGTAAGGTATTGTTAGCGACAATCAGCCATTTCGGTAAATTCTCTTCCACAGGAATAGAGACAGTGCTCTGAAAAAAAAAAAAAAATTAAAAAATGGTCAAAAAGACTGAAATTGTGTTGAACACAACCGTTCAATCAATGTTTCATACTCAAAATGAAAAAGGAGTCAAACAGCTTAACTGCCATGTTTGGTAATTTGCATATGAACTTACTTGAGCTGAAACATCCTTCTGATAGATTTGTCCAACATAAATAGATTCTTGGATAGTGGATGAGCGCTTTCCTGGCGTTAAGGCGAATGTTGCTGTTGTTAACAGCAAAATTTTGCCCAAAAACATTGTTTGAGATTTTAAATCCTTGTATGGGAACACTGAAAATACAAAAAGTGAGTAGAAAGTACGAAAATGATTGAAAAAACGAAATGAAGTAAGAGGTTAAGAGATCAAATTGAAATCAATGAAGTTAATGGTTTTAAGATTTGATCAAAGTACAGATCGAATAGGCTGAATATTTGAATAGGTATGGGTGGTCGTAGAGAAATGAAAACAACACTCTCAAAGTTTATGGAAATTAGGAAAAGCTCAAAGATTGCGGAAAGAAAGTGCTGAAGAGTGAAAAGAGAATTAGAAAAAAAGAGATTTGAAAGACAATTTGAACGATTGAAAAGGTAAAAGACGAAATGTGACATATGGAAATGGAAAAAACATTCTCGGAATGAGAGATGGAAAGGCTGAAGAATATATGAAAGGCTCTCAAGGTCAGATAATGTGAAGACATATGTAAGTCAAAAAGATTCCTTTAATATCTTTTTTTTATGTGTCCAACTAGCATAAGGCTTTTTGTGATTTGAAAAAGCTGAACATTTTCATTAAGATGGAAAAAACTGATTAGAATGAGGAAAAGGGGTGGCGGAGAGAAGGATGGAGAAGATGAGGACAACGGACATTGGGCATGGGAGAGTGACCGATGAAGCTCTTTTGACTTTTGATGAGAGAGTATGAGAGAGAAAAAAGAGGAATTATAGGAATATGTGATGGACATTGATGCATAGCAGGATTATATTAGAAGTTTCCACATAGAGATGGAGGGAATTTTCTGTAAAAAGAATGATTGGCAAGTATTTGAATGAGTTGTTAGTCATGTGTAGGAGGAGGTAGACATTAGCTGCTGATAAATCATCATCGGGTCTTGTAAAGATAAAACAAAACGATAGCAAATGTAAAAAAAAACGAAAGAAGAGGTAGGGATAGGATGAATGAAGAGAACGAAAGAGAAATACAACAGAGAGAGAGGGATTGATCATGGAACAAACAGGATGGAATTGAAAAAAAAAAGCAAAAACGCGTCGAAAGAAGAGAAAAAAGAGAAATGAAGTATTGAAGTGTAAATGTTGGTTAAAAAAGTATGTGAAACTGAAAAAATAAGATGAGTAAGATAGAATTTAAACTTGAAATAATATGGAAAAGCCTTCATTAATATGAAGAGTCACCCTCATCGTATGCGATACCAGACTATCGTCTGATGGATTGGCTCCACCCCCTTTCCTCCCCACCACAGTCAGCAGCAGCCGAATGGGGTGGGGTGCCGTCAAACCAGGGTAGGAGGGGGGAGACAAGGATGGAGGGTTGGACTTGATGTTGAGATGGGCGGAGCATATGAACGCGTGAATAACTCTATAAGTTAATAATAATATGGATAGAAGGAGAAGACCATTTTAAAAGAGGAAAATAAGATAAATAATGATAGTCTACTAATGTAATGAATTGAAATCGGGTTAGGTGCAATGAGAGAGTGACTTGTTACAAATGCAATTTCATTAGAAAGTCAGATGTGTTTGGCACTTTGTTCTTCAAATATTTCTTGATTATCAAGCATGTTATTGGCACAGACTATTGGGATATTGAAGACAAAATGACACTATACGTCTTCAGATGCATCAATTGATGACATAAATTGAACGACGAGCTACCATAATCAATAAAATGCCATTATTCTCAAACGGTTTTGCTGGCTTTTCATTACGTGGGTCCTGAAGATGGCCTTCATATATTCAATTGAAACTTTTGTTGAAAAAGCTGAAAAAAAAAGAAAATGAAAGATTGAAAGTGAGAAGAAGGCAAGACACAACCAATCAAAGCGTATTGCAATTGATAAATGAGATTTTCACGCGTATTTCACGTATGACACGTGAATGGCATGAAAAAAAAGAAAATATGCAAATTTCGCGGTCGATCGAAATGAGGGAAAGACTGAATGTAGAGATGGAAAAAAAGAGATGTGGTTGTAAGGAAAGTAATAAAAAGAAAGGACATAGATCTTTAATGATCCTCAAGGTAGTTCAACTGTGGATTTACAGGATATCACACATCTCATGGCAGGTGAATGTCGAGAATCATAAATCGAAATTAAGAGGCCTCAACTAGTAAATCTTACTGTTCCATCTCGAGCATGCGATTTCCCGCCATCTATGGCAGGTGATGACATACATGGATAGAAAAAATATGGGAGGGTATATGGAAGATGAGGTAAAGCGTCAGATAGATCTGCCTCCGGGGAAATCAGAATGCCTTTTCTCACGAGTAGTTGCCGAACGGACACTAATTAAATGGCTTATCGTTTAGCAAGTTAGAGAGAATATAGATGAGAGAGAGAACAATTAACATCTTGTGAGGAGGGGAAAAGAACAAAGAAATATTTATTATTTAAATATTTCAGATGGGACATATAGATAGTCAGAAGAACAATTTCCATATAAGGTTGTTTGATTACGTTATAGATGGAGAGGGGGGGGATGAGGTCAATTTTAGTCTGAATTCTACTTTTCTTTCTTTTAGCGCAGATGTGCTGTCAAAGAAAAGTAAAGTAAGATAAAGATGAAAGACAATAATTTGAATGAGAAGAGAGAAACTGAAAAGGAGTGAGAGAGTCAGAAAGAGATCCTTACAAGGGCAGCTGCAACCTCCTGCCCTTCCTTTTAAGACCTCTGATTCATTTTATGACATACAAAGAAGAGAAATCGACAACGACAACGTCGACTCCGAACACGATCATGACGATCAGCAGCCAGCTGGCCAGCTGGCATCATTCTACTTCACACATTCGGAAATCCGGGTATTTCAGCTTCTTCCACACATCAAACAACAAAGAAAAAAGACTTGAAAGAGGAGTTGTAGAAGAGATTCAAAGATGAAGGTGAAGACTTCAAATGCCGCAGTTTATTATTTATTTTTGCTATGAATGGCAAAAAAAGAATTTGACGGACGTGATGATTGATTGATTACACGTTTCCAGATATTTGAGTTGAACACACGAAATGCCATAAAAGAAATAAAAATTTTGATGAAAGGTAAGTTGAATGGTTAATGGATCGTCCATTTCGGCATATCGAAAAGTCATTCATGTCTTAGTCACACAGAAAAAGGAAGATGAGTTACTTGTCCAGAGGTTAAATGGAATGTTCCCCATCAGTTCCGTTCAGGTTACATATTCGGGACGGTTTCCTTTTTCCTATTCGGCAACAACAAAAAAATATGAATGACAATGGGATTTATGAAGTGATTTTGAAGCTTTCCTCCTTTCTCATGTTCATTACTTTTCTGTAAATTGTAATTCCAGCTGAGAATTGGATGAGACAAGAACGACAAACTGATGAGAAAATCCAAATGAGCTTTGAATGGCACAAGGGCAATTTATGAATTAAAAGTCCTAAAAGGATTGGAATTGTAAGAGGCAAGAGTAAAGTAAGAGAAAGAGAGATAGAGAGAGGGTGAGTGGAGTAGAAAGCAAAGTTTGAAGAAAAGAAAACAAAAGCAATTGTATCATATTTGAAGCTTTTAACTATATGACCCATGTGGGAAAAGCCATAAACGATAGATAAACTATGTGAGATTGAGTCAAAGATAATCATTTTGTTAACTTTTTCTTCTCATCATCAACAGATGCTTGTTTGCTAGACAAAAACCTCAAACGTCTTCAGCTGATTGTAAAACTTCATAGAAGGACAAAAACTTTTTCCAGAATCTCAAGCCAGACGGTTTATCTTCCTCGAGTGAAAGAAAAACGATTTTGATCTGAAAAAAAGAAATGGGTGGCAAGGGAGAAATATGAGGGAGAGTGAGAGAACGAGTGAAATAACGGTCAAATGATATAGAAGAGAAAAAAAAAGTTGAGGAAACTGTTGGGAAAATATGAAGATAAGTATGGTTCAATGGGTTTGATTGGAAAAAATTGCAAAGGCTGCAGAAGGTTAGTAAGAATGAGAGAAGAGATGGTGGAGGAGAACAACTTGTAAAGAAGCTTCTCTAAGATCAAACGGTGTAGTCGGTAAAATCAAAAAGGAAAAGACAAATTAGGTTGGAAGAAAAGAGACAGTAGTTGTAAAAAATGGAAAGATAACAAACTAAAAGGGGGGGAAGAGATAAGGTTTGACTAAGAGAGAAGAAAAAGTTTCGAACGCTTGGCCATCAAACAAAGAAAAAGTTGACAATGGGAAAAACAGTGTGAGGATAAAATGATTTTCTCACATATCATAATGGATTTTGAAAAATAAAAAATGAAGAGAAGAGAGATGAGGCAGAGGGGGGGGGAGAATTGGTGGTGGTTATAGATGAGCGGGAGAAGAGGAACGACTGCGATGTGACATGAGAAGATGAACTTCTGAAATGAATTATTTTTAAAATATCATCAGATAATATTGAAATGTTATGTGTATGTTTGAATAATAATTCAATGTTCAGTACAATTCTGGTATTTGGAAGAGCTGGTTTGGGTTAGAGTAAATGAAGTTCATCAGTTTTGTTTCCCGACCGATAGTCTTTAAATACTGGATTATCAGGGGGTAAAATGGAGGGAGTTCTCTTTCTCTCTTCTCATTTCCCTCTCTATCCATCTATGAAGAAGAACAGAGAGAAAGAGATGAAGAGAATGAGAAGAGGTAAAGTTATGAATGAAAAGCAGGTTTCGAACGTTTTCATCAAAACTTTTGACCAGTTAAATATTAGTAATAGAAGGAGCCAAAGAAGAAATGTTCTTTTATGGAAATGACAATGAGGGTCGATTCACAAATTAGAATGAGAATATTTACCTAAGAATTCGACGCCAAATTTTTGTATTTCCGTTAGGTTTTCACACTTGTGATGACGTAAATGTTACAGAAACATGTCAAATATGGTATATGCTCACAACTCACCAAACTTTCTTAATTTGGCAAATAGTTGAAGTGTCTGACTGACGAAGAAGTAATTAAAGAATTATTTAAAATTCTCAATCAATGAATAAAATGCTTTGATGTTGTGGCAGAAGCTTTTAAGAATTCAACTTGAGCATGTTTTCGTTCGTC